GCCCATCGATCCAGCCTGTCCAGGTCCCTCTGCAGAGCCTTCCTACCCTCGAGCAGATCAACACTCCCGCCCAACTTGGTGTCATCTGCAAACTTACTGAGGGTGCACTCAATCCTCTCATCCAGATCACCGATAAAGATATTGAACAAGACTGGCCCTAAAACTGAGCCCTGGGGAACACCGCTCGTGACCGGCCGCCAACTGGATTTAACTCCATTCACCACATTCACTCTAGACTTGTCACACTCTTTTAGATGAAAAATATCAAAAAATGCCTTGATACTAACCAGTTATTTTGAAAGCAAACTTAAAAAATTAAAATATTCATACATAACATAGTAATTTTTTTTTTAAGACAAAGGTGAATGCAAACAAAAAAAAAATTTAATTTAATTTTCTTATAAAACCACCAAACCTAAAAAAAATGTTCCTATATGCCACTGATTTACTCTGGGCATTTTGACCTACTTCATCAGGAATTTTGTCTTGAAATGTGCTTTATGTCTCAGGCTGCATTCCTCAGAAAGAAACTTTGCTGGTAAAATATGTTAGCTTTTACAGCAATCTCTTCCTTAGGGTCCTTGAGGAGTGCAGATTCAATTGCACCTTCCAAAATATATTTACCTTTCACTGATTTGCTGATACTTTAGCAGGAGTGCCAAAACCTCCCTCTTTGGTAATGTAAATGTTACTTTGGCAGAGAAGGCGTCAGATCCTGTACTTAATTGACCTATAAACAACGGCTCGTCCCATTGATAGGTAAAACTTCCCCATCCCTAATGACTTGTTATGCAGTATCATAATGATGTATCTCTCCCCACTGAGCCTGTTATTACAAAACTTACACACTGATGAACATATTGCTAAAAACATTTAAACAGAATTAAGATGTGTGGCTCATTTCTGATCTCAGTGGACAGACGTAGTGGTCATCAAACACTCTTGAGCAGTAAAATGTTTGGGATGACTGATCCCCAAACCTTTTTTGAGGGATATCATACACCAGGGAAAGGCAAAAAAGGAAAGGAGATAACAAATGCAATCTATTTGAGAGATCTAAAATATGCTAAATACTTTCAAAGTACAGCAAAAATATTATCTGTCTTGACTATTGTCAGCACATAAATCATTCTAGGACTTATTTCAGAAAAACTCGTGACAGTCAAGAAAACTGAGACAAGGGGAGCATGGTGAAAAGCTTCCTGCTTTCTCCATTTGAAATGAAATTTTGCTTCCATTGGTAAAATTGACATTGATGTCCGTAGAGGCCAGGATTTTGCCCTTAATTTTAAAAATATGGAAAAAGAAAGCTCTTTTACAGCCTCTAAAGGATCTCTGATTTGTTCTATCGTTGTACTGGATGATGCCATCATAAAAATAGGTTGAGTCTACATACTCAGCATTATCCTGCACAGAGTAGTTCAACGTTTATTGTATTATGTTGTAGGACATATTCTTATATAAGAACAACTACTACATTATATAAGAATAATACTGTGTAATTGCAGTAATGAATCATCGAATACTTGTTACTTTAAAACCCATACTGTATTGAACCACTGATAATGTATTTTCTTGATATCTGCAGGTTCCCCTTCATCTTAAAACATGAGAGCAGATTGTACACATCGTTTCTGCTTGCACAGCTATAAAAGCTGTGGCTGGCTATAATGTCTAAAAGCATATATTTGATTATTGAACTATTATGACATTAAATTGTTTTGAAAACAGGTCACAATATTTCAGATATAGGAACAGTTACTGAGAAGTTCTTTAAAATATTCATTACTAAGGTAGAATATCACAAAGGTGAGCTGTAATGATACGTTCACGTGAGTATTTGCTAGGTTTGATGTCATATAACTCCATATTGCCTGCATCCTACCAGTACCTAGCTGGTAGGCTTCATAATATCCAATATCCTAGTAACTAACTTGTATGCTGGTAAAAGAACAAACTCACTAGTGTGTGATTAAACTAATATGTTAAAAAAAAATTAACTGACTCAAAAACTTGTGAAAAATATTATCGATAATGTCATATAATCCTTGGGTTCATTTGTAAATTCTCAATGATAACAGATTTAAAATGGCATTCTGCAAAGAGTTATCAGTGATCATAATATCTATAGCACAGTTCTTAGGGAATAAAGTCTTGCATATCAAATCTCACTCCCTATAAGCAACAGATGTCACCAGTCTTGAATATCTGCTTGAGGCATTTGTAAATCTAATTGTCCTATGTAATTTGAGTTTAGGAAGGGTAAAACATACACCTACATAACTTTCTTCTTATTAAATCAGTTTAACAACCAAACACAGATTAACCATACCTGTTCCACCAAGCCCCTTAAACTCTTTGTAGGGTTCAGATCTAACCATTGCTCATTCTAGCAACGCACAGAAAGCACACTGAAGTCCATAAATAATCGTTGTTTGCCTGTAGCCACACTAACCCCTTTATCTACGCTGTTTTCAGCACCACCTTACCCATGATTTGTGCACAACGAATCCATTCTGCTGCCTCTTCTATGTACACAGAACAGATAAACTGAAAATCTCTTTGTTCTCAAACTAAATAAGGTGGCATTTAAATCCTCCCGGAGTGGAATATAGCTTCTTGTTCAATCCGTTGTACATGACAAGTAATTGAAATGTCTTTATAAAATCTTTCCTTTCAGTGCCTACCGTTATCTGTACATCTGGTTACATTTTTAGCATATAGCGATTCTCCTGAATCTAACAATGGTATCCTTAAGATGTCCTTCTAAGATCTTCTGTATATTTCCTTATTTGGACAAAATATCACTTAGTACAGAAGATGACAAAGGTGCAGAATTTAATTATAAGTATTTGAAAAGCTCCTTCAGGATATTTACTAAAGAAGTCTTTTAAAACAGTGACCTTTGTTGACCATGACAGATGAACCATTTCAAAAGACAGCATCGTGTAATATGAATGAGTTAAAGAAAGACAATTAACATATCACAGACTGGTTAAGGTTGGAAGGGACCTCTGGAGGTCATCTAGTCCAACCCTCTTCCTCAACCAGGGCCATATAGAGCCGGTTGCCCAGGACAGTATCTAGACGGTTACTATATGTTACTAATTTAAAAAAGAGCTGCACATCTATTTTTGTATGTACAGCTATTTCTTCTTAGAGGGTCTAAAAGACTACATGGGCGTTTAGTAATATTATTTGCTGACACACTCCATACACAGTCTAATGGTCTAGTGCCCAGGGAAAAGTTTCCACAATTCATTAATAAATTATAGGTGAAATGTCAATGTTTCAAGATGCAAAGCTGCAGCTGTAAGGTAAATGGTAATGTGTGTCATTTGTGCTGTGGAGCTAGACGT